GAGCCACAGGTGCCTCACAACCTGCTTCCAGATCATTTGGGAGGATTTTTTCCTCAGTCTTGTTCCCATCAAACTGTCCACCACATCCAACATAATCACTCAGCCTTACTGATAAGGAAGTCACTTATCTACTTCAAAACATCCAGTAGGAACAACTTACTTTCAAAGAGCACAGAAATTCTCCCCCAGATCATACCTCGGTGTCACTTATCCAACAGGGTAATCACACTCCGCTGGATGCCCTCAAGATATTACTCAGCTTCCTTCCAAAACTCCTAATGGCAAGAACTGTGATAAAATTCAGAACACAGACTAAAGACCACCAGTCTAGACCAAATAGGAGAAAAGGATGTTAATGACTTGTATCACTGTATTACCTGGAAAGCAAATCAGTGATCTATAACTTATAAATAATACTCTTTCATTATAGTTCACCTGAATCACCCAGGGTCTACTCACAGTATTTGAATTTTTACTTTTACTTTTTTTATTATATGTGGGTTTGGGGTTGGTGTGGTTTTGGGTTTGTTTTTTTTTTTGCAATCTTCCAAATAAACTGAGCAACGGAACTCTGCATTCTCTAAAAGTAATGTTTTTAATGTCTAGTTAACTGATTTAGTACACACACTTCTTAAGTGAGCACTGGGACTGTATTTTCCTATGGAAAAGGATGAAGCTGCATCATTTAAAGTAGGTTAATATTCCTCTTTCCAACATAATTTACAAAAAAGTGCTATGAGAAAGTTTATATGGTTCCTAGCATATATTCATACATATAAAATTAAGTTGAGATACTCAGACAAGATGTTAATCTACCTCACAAATCCACAGAGGCTTTTCTACAAAATCAAGACACAGCGTTTTAAGTCAGACCTGTCAAAATATTTTTGTTCGTGTCTTTTTCTGCTAATGCTAAACTTCTGATATTCTGTAAGCTTTTTGCCTTTTATTGGCCTAATGGCAGAGAAAGAAACAAAGTGCTAAAGCTTTCCTTTCTCCTATAAATTTGGCGATTTGGCCTGTCAGGCCAATTGTTTTTCAAGACATTTCACTGATTTCCCTGTAACTCCTCTTTCCCAAGACAGGCTCTTGGGAAACTGACCTCTTTAGCACCACGTACTGAGACTGGAGAGAGTTTTTCTTACTAGTGAGATTGATTGCCCAGTATTCTCAGACTACACAAGCTTTTATTTCTGAATAAGCTGGCCTGTGGCATCCCCATCAGCTTACATCTCACTGTAACAGCTCTCACTGACTTGGGTTGCAGTTTGTGTGATTGTGAGTTCTATCAGTTACGAACTCCTGTATTACACATATGGGCAAATACACAATAAAAGACTTAAGCTTTCTGAAGCCACCTTACAAGATATTTCCATAAACAAACACGTTGTATGCTGCACAAATTATTCAGATCAACTCTTCTTTGCTAGAGACATTCCAATGAGCTCCTGAAAGCAGAGACGGTCTTTGCTGTCTGCATTCTGCTTCTAACAAAGGCAGCTTTGTTCCATCAGAAATGGCCTTGTCATGCATTAGAAGCCTATCTTGGTGTTTCTGGAGAGTTTCAATTAAACATATTCCAAGTCAAAGTTCCAAGATGCAAGCTTTAAGCAATTTTGACTACAGACAGTATCTTTATCAGTTCACGTTCTTTAACTCACCAAACTTCTGTCTGAGCAACCAAAACCACTGATAACTACACTCATACTCAGATTTTGTATTTTTAAGCAAAGGAAAGGCTGATTAAAATACAGCATAATGGGACAGCTGCTTGATTTTATTACACTTTTATAACAAAAGGATGGATTTTGCTACCTTGAAAGACCTTGAAAATGGGAAGCAATAGTTTGGAGATAAAAAGAAAGACGCTTCTGTTTTAAAATCACTTTCATTATTTACATAAGTGAGTCTGTAGACAGCCAGCACAAAGTTTTGTTATAGTTTAACAGTATTGCATAACTCAGGAAACAAAACACATTTTCATTTAAGTTTGAAAAGGAGTTACAAATTCTGCTTTTACTCCAAGTTATAAAAAAACCCAAGTTCTTAAACCATTAGACTTTCCAGACAAGAAAAAGTAAGATTATAATTTTAGGCTAGTGTGGTATTTTTCCATTTCTCTTTTCCCCCCTCCCACTTCCTCTGAAGACTATTAATCAAAAGGGTTGTAAGAATTCCCCTAAAAATATTGCTCTCCCTACCCCCATCTCTGCTTTAAATACTTAGAGTAAGAAATTTAAAAGTGGATTTAATGGTCTGGAAGGCATATTCAACACAGGGAAAAAGACAAACACACACCTATTCACATAGGTCAGCTGTCTCTACAGAAACAATCCAATGGAGAGGCAAAGTCTGCAGGCTAATTAAACCTTTGATTTTTATTAAGCTATCTCAAAAAGATGGCTATTACCCCCTAATTCATGGTGATCCTGTGAGAGCAACATTTGTTAAGCGAAAAACGGGCTCATGATACTTCCCTTTTACAATTCACATTTCACGTTAGGAGAAGCCTTTAAAAAGTACTGTCCCTTGAAAAGAAGGACTTTGATAACCTGCACTCCCTGACAACACTGCTGTTGTACAATTCTTACTCCTGTGGTGGCTGTGGATTCAGAAAATACCCAGCTTCTGGCAAAAGACCTCAACTACAGGAAAGAGAGAGAAACAAAAGGGAACAGGGGGATGGAGAAATAAAGGTATACTGAGTAAGTCTGAATGTATACCTATTGTATACCTCCTAAATTAGCTTTGCACTTGACACAATGCATGAGACACTCTCGCATGTATGCTCCATGAAACAAAATCTGACTACTGCATAAACTTCAGAAAACATAAAATCAAACTGCTGTACAACAGATGTAAAATTCCACAGACCTTGTGGGGCTTCAGAGAAATAGGAGCCAAGAAAGCACATTACCATGACTGGGAACATGAAACTCAAGAAGTTCCACAAAGGCTAAATGCTAAAGCATTGAAAACATCACAACTTCTACAAGAAAGAAACAAAGGGGACCAAAAAAAAAAAGTGAAAATGTGGGAAGGACTGACTCCAGGAATAGTGCTAGTCTGACAGATTCTTTATCCAACCATTAGCCCCATTTATTAAATGAATCTAATATTTTTCTGTTCCACAAGTAATAAGAGATATATTTAAAGTGGTACAATGCTACGGTTTAGATCAATCAGTATCTCAAGTAGGCCATGTGCATCCTTTAGCCTTTGTGCTTGATTTCAAACTGGAAATAAAGTATAAGAAAAGAAGCATAGGCATTTTTATTTTTTAGTTACATAGACCACAGAAATTCACCTGCTGGTAACTGTTATTCACCAGGCTAGGATAGCGAACTAATTATATAGCAAAGCAAACCCTCATTAAACAACTTTTTGAAATAGAGTTTCAAGTATTCATAACCCTGAAGCACACTGTGAGTGCACATACATAGGCACGTCCCATATTAAATAATGCTGGCAGTAATTATCAGCAATCATAAAGCAGACTCTTCAGCATTTGTATTGCGTAAGATCTGCCAACATTCCCTTTTCATTTGGTGCTATTTGTAGTGTGTCCATTTTTCTTGTTCTTGACTCTGTACTGAAAAACTTAACCAAAAAAAAAAAAAAACCACAACATGGCAGATCTTTTTAAAAGAAATTTAAAAGTCTCTGGTGTCAGGTGCTACTATGGCGTGCACAACACTGTTCATAAACAGTAAAATGCCTATGCTGTTTACATAAAAGATACCACAGTCACACAATATGCTGCACACTGAGTTCTCAGTAGAAAGTAAACAGTGATTCAACTGATGAGGGAAAACATTGGCAAGAGTCAGTTCTTAAGGGCAAGCATGAAGCTCTTGCTCAATTTTTAACAGCTTAATAAGGGCAGACTAAGCTTAATTTGACAGACTGTAAAGACTAGGTATGACTGCTTAATGTATCGACATTTAGCTTAGGAACTGTTTAGATTTGAAGGATGCTTATTTCTACTAAAAAACACTATGTTCTTTCCCTCCCTACCAATTTTCCAAGAAACTAACACCATGCCTATCTCATTAAATGTGAGTTCAAACATGGTGGCAAGGTGAGTCTGTCAAACTCATGCATGTGTTCACTGTTATTTGCATTTTCCATCCTCAAACCAGCATGACATTTTCGGAAGAAATGCTTACCATTCCAAAAACAGTTACTTGAGATTCCAATAAAAACACCCCCACACTTTTATGTTCAAACAGATATTAAAATAATAACTGGGCATCTCCCGTTCAGCCTACCTGTAAGCTCTCCTTACTACATGAGTACATCCAGAAAAATAAACAACTGTTCAACTTTAAAAATACAGAGTATTCTGGCAAGAAAAGTTAAGATTTTTCCAAATAAGAGCAAGATGCCTTGGAGAACAAAAGTGTAGGTAAGGCATAGCCCAAGTCTGCAAATACTACCATATATCATAGATAGTACTAATCAAAGCTCTACTATTCAAGGAGCTGCCTGAGAGGTATATAAACAAAATATAACCCAAATAAACAGGGGCTTACTCATATTACAAACCCAGAATCCATGGTTAGTAAAATAAAACCTTAACTGTTTGCATTATATTAAATGATTCCTTAGCACTGCAGAGCACATATATTTTGGTGCTCTAAAAGAACAGAGACTCAAATTCCATTCTAGCTTATTTACAGCTCATGAAAAACTAAGACTCTGCATATTAACACGTGCAACATTTGACTTCTCATTCTTAAACTGTCAGGCCTAAATTTTTGTTGAATTTGCTACCTTGCAGCTGTTCCTTCAATTTGTGGTAACAATTAAGATACTATTTTGTATACTACATTTCATTACTTGCTTGAAAGGTATTTTGCCTACTAGTAATCACCCTCAGGTATAATTAAAAAAGTGTACTGGAAATAATTTAAATTTATAATTACTAAATTTCAAATTTATAATTTTTTAAGAATGTGTAGACTTTTTAAAATGTAGAAATGTATTACTATACTTACTTTTTGCTTGCTTCGTAAACATCCGTGATATTGGAGAAAAGGTGATGGCTCTCAGTTTTGGTCATTGTGAGACTCAGTTCCCTGGAATTTTTAAACATCCGGATCAGAATTTCCAAGCTCAGCAAATAAGAATGTTCAGAAGATATCACTTCAAATATTGCCTGCAAAGTGGAGAGCAGAAAGAAAAGACTTACTATTGATTAGACTTTTTTTTTTCAGGGAATAAAAAAGGAAAAAGTGGAAGAGGAGTGCAAAGAGAGTTATTGCATGTAGAGATGATAGAGATGATAACAGAAATATTAATTTCCAGGATAGCTGCATCATTTACTTAGAAATAAATGATTTAACAGTAGAAAAAAGACTTTTTTAAAAAAATCGATATTCAGACTTTTCAGTGCAGCTGCAAACAGTGAGTTTGAAGACAAAAACACCAATTACAATCACTCCCCATTCACACTCCTGAGAGGTGGCTTTATTTTGTATTGTTTTTTAATTTAAAAAAAAAACCCAAACATCTGTTTCTGTGGTCTGGTTGGAAGCTTCCTATCAGTCATACTACTGTTGACCAGCCAGTATTTGGTTTTGCTTTTTTTTTTTTTTTTTTAAACAGAAGCTGGTAAGTTTGAAAGCTTGAAAACTTGAAAGTGTTCTTGGGTAACAGAGCTCTGCTTACCCAAGCATCTGCAGAAAAGCAAAACTGTTTGTAAAATTCAGGTTTTAATCCTGTATCAGCAGTGATACCTTGCTTACTCTTAAAACATCAAGTCAGGAGCAGGCACATGAGAAGCTGAGCTCTCTGCAGCAGGGAGAGAAGCCTGGAGGCAGAGCAGACAGGAGGGGGTGGCAGCCATTATCCCCTTTAGTGATTGTGAGCAGATACCAGACAGGCAGACCTCCAGTACATTCCCTCACCTCCGTTTTATCACCCTGCCACTTAGAGCAGACACTGTAACTTCCTTCAGCTGGCTGACGTACAAAGCAAACTTTTAGTGGACTCTTGGACTTTGAAATCCACATACTTGTTCCATTGGAAATTTTAATCTCTGATATAGAAACCTATTTAGCCTTTTACCTCTCTAGGCTTTATTTGTTGTTAATCTACTCGAGTTCTTATAATGTGTATACATGGAAAAAAATTAAATCATTTTCATGAACCCTTTTGTCACGAGCTCCAAGTCACATTTGTCACTGGTGCTACCTTCCAGGCATTACTAACATAGGATAATACCATCAGCAGAGCTAATATAACTTTATTCTCAATATGACTAATGTTAATACTTACATGTATAATTTCATTAGTTATTTGCAACTAACTTCTCTAAGCAGTCTCAAACCAAAGGAGAAATACACACTTCAAATGCAACAGCGCAGATCTGAGTATTTAGCAAGACTAATGCCCATGGCTCTACGAACACAGAGAGACAAAGCAAGGGGTCTACAGCTGACAGTCTACAGGAGCAGTTCAGTTAGATGGTCTATTGCACGTGCTCTAGAGAAACCCTGCTCTTCGCTGACTAGATAGAAAGGCGAGGGAGACCATGGGCAGGATGAAGGCAGCCTTCCTGAGTATTCCCAACTGCCAATTGAGACAAACCATACTGGGAAAAAAACCACAAAACGTTCTGCTGGGGACATTTGTTCATAGGATTTCTTAAAGAGTTCAAGTCTACTGAATTCTGCTGGTGTTACTAAGGTAAGCTTTTGATGAAACACAATTTCTTCTGGGTATCTTGAGTCTCAGCATTCCCACACTGTGCTTTCAAAATTATTCTTGCCCTTCTAAAAAGTCTTCTTTAAGGAACTTACATTTTAATCATTAAATAAGTTTTGCTTTCTTAGAACAAAATGAAAAAAAAAAAAAATCACCTTTAGCTGAAGCCTTAAAGGCTTATGCAGTGCAAAGAAGATTTATCAACTCCACAGAAAACCTACAGGGCCATTATACATACAAGGAAAAGAAGTCTAATGCACATATCGGTAGTCTTTCCATCTTATTACCAACCTAAAAAGCTAAAGGGATCTGGTGAGAGATACAACAGCAGCTAGGTAACAGCTACAACACTGTTATTCAGTACTGCTGTGCAAGAAGATATGCAAAGGTGATGCTTAAAATAATGTTAAATTGCCTGCCTACCAACTCCTTCAATCTAGAGAACATATACATACATCAGCCAAAGTCTGGTGGCAAATCTACCTATGCTTGGCTAACAATGTGCAGAAAGGTGCCTAAAAAGGGCATTTTGGCCTGTGCCCAGCTTTTACATTTCCAATCTTCAGTCTCATTGTACTTGTCCCTTACCTAAGGATTGCTGTAGGGCTCCATGGCTAATTGGTTTCTACCCAGGTATTTTTCAACAGAGGAAAAAGATATAAGCTCTCTTACTATTAGTGTTTTGGAGGAGGGTTGTTTATGCTTTTTTTGAGGAACCTCACAGACTTCTTCCAGTTTTCTGACTACGCTAATGACTTTGTCACCAATAAATGGGACAAAGAAAGATACTTTGCTTCTAATATGTAAGGAAAGGAGAGAATATCACCTTACCATGACCCAAACATGCTTCAGAGAATAAAAAAAAAAAATATAAAAGGCTTAAGAAAAAACCTTGATTGACATACAGTAACTACACCACATTTGGAGGCTGGGGTGGCATTTACCAGGTACTTACTAACAGTGTTTCTGAATGACATCTGAAACCATATTGTGGTTAATTTGCATTATTTCAAGGCAAGCAGATGTTTGAATCCTGATGGGCAGTAAACACTCTTAAGCAGCCGGATGCATACTGCAGTTTGTACACACATACGCAGTTAAGAGTTTCCAGCTTGCAAGAAAAGAAGATCTATCAAAAATTATTTTAGTTCAAATCAGTCTATGACATTTTCTTTAGACAAAAGATGCAGAGAGATCCATCTCACTAATGTGCTCTAGAAGATGGGATGTGTATGAATGCATGACATTGACATTTAATCAAGGTATAAGGCAAACATTTTTCTGCAGTGACAATATATTACGATGGCAAAAATAATCTAATACGGTCTAAGCAGTTTAAAGAATAGATAAAGAATAATTGATAAAAGGCAGACATACAGCAAAAACACGACTTGGTAGTACATCTACATCTTAAAAATATTTATTTAGGCTCCCTCTGAAAGAATGGCTCTCTAATAATCAAACAAAAAACACCTCAGGCTTGAAAACATTTTTGGTAACATTAAAGACTTTACATTTAAAAGGCATCTAAAGAACTTGTTCTCTTTTAAGGGACGTAAATATGGCTCCAGGAAACATACACTAAAGGCTCCTAAAGCATATGACTGAAATAAATGCCTTGTGTCTCAAAGCTTCCCAGCAGGAGGAGATAGAAAACCAGAACGCATGGCCTGAACTGCTGCAAAGCCTCTTCCCCAAAAAAAAACAAAGGAAGGTAACCAAAGAAATGCAGCTTTATAAAAAAACCCCAATAAAATATTGTCTAAATTTCATGTATCCAATACAAGATGTTTCTGTATTTCATGTATGAACATAACAGCTGTAGTTCATGCAGCTAAATTAATATTTGAGGCTTGCTATACACATCTGTGAACTTCACAGAAAACCCCAGTCAGGTCTCACTTGGCTACATTCACTGAGGTATGTCCTGAAGCAAAATGAAGACATTGGAACAAATTTCCATGGCAGGTAATGCTACAGTGTTTCTATTCAAAAAGCTTTTTTTTTTTTTTCCCCCATGTTGAAGGACATACCTCAAGAACTGCAGGTATATAGTTGGCTAGGTCAGGCTATTCTTTTCAACACCTCTCATTCATTTTGATATAGCCCCTGTAAGTAAGGAAGGAGGGTAAAGCAGATAAAAGTGGACAAAAGGAGCAAAGAGGAAGAGGAAATCAGATAAAGAGGACAAAAGGAGCAAAGGGGAAAGAGACAGAGAGAGAAAAGATAACTACATCAGTAATTGCTGCTGTTGTCTGTACTGTTGACAGCATGGATGCACCTAGTCCACTTCAGTGTGAAAGGAAAAAGGTTAGTCACACCAGATACACAGTGCTTGCATGTTCAGAATTGTTCACCGGATTAGTTACAACTAAGGGGCATTGTAAAAAGCTGTTCTTTGTTCCTCGATGACTTTAAAAATTTATGTGCCACCTCCTATCCTCTGTGAATGCAAGGTTAATTTTACACCTTCCCTGGTACAGCACGCAGCAGTGACTATGTGCTGCTACTGACTAGCCGTCAGCCAGGCTACATCTGCTGGAGTGAGCATGCCCAAGAACCACTCCTCCAGCAAGACCTGCAGGATGTTGGCAGGAGACCTGCAGCAGGGACATAGGCACATCAGCAATAGACACGTTTTGTTTATTTATTCTCCCTGGGGAGTGAAGACATTTCACTCTAGGACAGGAAGCAGTGTGATGAACTTGTCTCCTTATCAACAAATAGAGTATTAAATCAGGCATGCAGTGCACCCCTAAGCAATCAACAAAGAAGAATGTGTTACTTTAAAGAGTACCTCCTGTCTTTTTCTTTCTTCCTGGCCGATCGCTTCTGATAATCCATTCTTCTTTACCTAAGAATAAAAAAAAAAAAATGAACATCTTCTGTAGCAATCTGTAGAAAAATGCAATTAAAAAAAAAAAAAAGAAAAAAAACAAACCACAGAGTTGTCAAAACATTGGACTAAGAATTCAGCTAAAGAATCTGTCCACTTCAGAAAGACAGCAATGAACCAGCAGAAATTAAAAAAAAAAAAAAGTTGACAACACATGTCATTTGACTTATCAAAAGAACTAAATAATTTCATTAAAAACTATCCCAGGACACATACTACAGCAAAAGCATGCATAGTTGGATCATGGTCACCCTGCACCACTTCCCTGGATTTTACACACCCACAGAAGCATGAAAACGCCTTTCTCCTTTTAAGTTAGATTTCTTGACTGACATATGCACATCACAAGGTTTGTTTTCCGAGTCAGCCTGAAAAATCTTAAGTGTCTTCATTTGTTAGACACACCTAAAGGCCTAGACAAAGTACCTAGGCAGGTGGTTTGTTGGCCAGGAAAAAAAAAAAAAAAAAAAAAAAAAAAAAAAATCATTCTGGAGGAGCTCCAGCTTTACCCTGAACAGACATGGCAAAGTCCTGAGTAAACATCCCTGCATTTCTGTCCTCAACACCACAATGGTGTCTCCCCCTACTTTGCACCCTACAGCCAAATCAGCCAAGACAAGTTTGGCCCAGCTCTCCATATACAACCGACATGAACTCCAGTCATAGCCACATTTTCTACAGCCTGAAGCCACATGCTCAGCTACCAAATTCCACACCAGACACCCCTAAAGTTTATTCTTTCCTGGTGCAAATCGCATGCATTATGCCATTTAACAGGAGTACATTAAAAAGAACAACCAGAAAGTGAAGCACCAAGGAGGGACTGACTTCATGCATTTCCTAGAGGAACATTAAATGCAGGACCTTAAATCAGGAGGGTCACCTGCGTATGGCATGCTGGACTGGGGAAGGAGGCCACTGCACAGCACTACACGTGTGAAAAATACTGTTCTCTTCATGGAGCAGCAATATGTCACGGGACATGAGACCTAACAGATGCACTTCCATTCCCTGTTTCTCTTTTGGTCTTCTCCAAAAGCTCCTAACATACTATCACCAACAGCTTTCTCTTCTTACTCCACTTATTCCCTGGAATTTTAAAGGATATATTATTCCTCATTTTATTCCTGCATACCAGGCACACAAACACGGATAGCAGGCTCAAGAGTAAAGATGGCACACCATTAAGAAGTGCTGCACTTTGGTTTGCATGCACACCAAAGTATATACACATATGCATATACTTATAAAACTAACATACATATTCCAGTGTTCGAGCAATTGTTCTTTTGAACACAAGTTACAGATTCCTATGTCACCACAAGCATACAGCTCTAAATACCAAGCAAGAACTAATTAGATGCCTTTCTGTTATTAGGACCTGATGAGATGCATCGCAGAGTCCTGAGTGAACTGGCTGATGTAGTTGCCAAGCCACTCTCCATGATATTTGAAAAGTCATGGCAGTCAGGTGAAGTCCCCAGTGACTGGAAAAATGGAAACATTGCACCCATTTTTAAAAAGGGTAGAAAGGAGGACCCTGGGAACTACCAACTTGTCAGCCTCACCTCTGTGCCTGGGAGGGTCATGGAACAGATCCTTCTAGAAGCAATGCTAAGACATGTGGAGGACAGGGGGGTGATTCAAGACAGCCAGCATGGCTTCACCAAAGGCAACTCTTGCCTGAGCAACCTAATGGCCTTCTACGGTGGAATGACTACATCAGCAGACAAGGGAAGAGCTATGGATGTCATCTATCTGGCCTTCTGTAAGGCCTCCAACATGGGCCCCCACTCCTTCTCTCTAAATTGAAGAGATGTGGATTTGATGGGTGGACTGTTCAGTGATGAGGAATTGACTGGATGGTTGCATCCAGAGGGTAGTGGTCAACAGCTCAATGTCCAGATGGAGATGGGTGAGAAGTGGTATCCCTCAGGAGACTGTACTGGGACCAGTACTGTTTACTATCTTCATCAGTGACATAGACAGTGGGATCAAGTGCACCCTCAGCAAGTTTGCAGACGACACCAAGCTGAGTGGTGCAGTTGACACACCTGAGGGATGGGATGCCATCCAGAAGGACCTGGACAAACACTAGAAGTGGGCCCGTGTGAACCTCATGAAGTACAACACAGCCAAGTGCAGGGTCCTGCACCTGGGCCGGGGCAACCCCTGGTATCAATACAGCCTGCAGATGAAGGGATTGAGAGCAGCCCTGTGGAGAAGGACTTGGGGGTACTGGAGGATGAAAAGCTGGACATGAGCCGACAATGTGAGCTTGCAGCCCAAAAGGCCAACTGTATCCTGGGCTGCATCCAAAGAAGCATGGCCAGTAGGTCAAGGGAGGTGATCCTGCCCCTCTACTCTGCTCTTGTAAGACACCTCCCCCCTCCTCCCCCACCCCCTGCCGCAGCACTGCCTCCAGCTCTGGAGTCCTCAGCACAGGAAAGACATGGACCTGTTGGAGCGGGTCCAGAGGAGGCCACAAAAACGATCAGAAGGCTGGAACACCTCTCCTCTGAGGAAAGGCTGAGAGAGGGTTGTTTAGCCTGGAGAAGAGAAGGCTGCAGGGAGACCTTATTGCTGCCTTTCAGTACTTAAAGGGGGCCTGTAACAAACATGGGGACAAACTTTTTCCCAGGGCCTGTTGCGACAGGACAAGGGGTAATGGTTTTAAACTAAAGAAGGTAGATTTAGACTAGTTATAAGGAATAAATTTTTTCCAATGAGAATGGTAAAACACTGGAACAGGTTGCCCAGAGAGGTGGTAGGTGCCCCATCCCTGGTAACATTCAAGGTCAGGTAGGACGGGGCTCTGAGCAACCTGATCCAGTTGAAGATGCCCCTGCTCACTGCAGGGGGGTTGGACTACATGACCTTTAAAGTTCCCCTCCAACCCAAACCATTCTATGATTCTATGAAACCATTCAAGTACCTTTCAATCAACAACCTGAAAGTTCTAAATGTCACTTTTTTGTCTACAATGTCACTTTTTTGTCTGGATGCAGTGGAGGACTTTTCTAAAAATATGCCAACACAGGAAATACCTATGAACATATCCAGGAGATGTCAATGCTTCCTGTTAATACAGCAACTGCATATTTCCAGAGAGATCAACGCAGTAACCACTATACTCACATTCAAAAAACTGTAGCTGTGTTTTGTGATCATTATTTTGTCATATATGGGTGTGTACATACAAAGTACACATATAAATTCATCACATAAGCAAATGGTTGAACCTTATATGCTTAATTAACAAAAACTCCAAAGAGAAAGGGGCCCAAATATGGAGACTATTTTTGGCATACTCTGTGAAATTCCTATTTTTTGAGATGGCCAAAATGTTTTAGCTGAAAGAACCTAAAAAATCACATTTGTGATACCATGCAAACAACAACTTAATATAAGCTAAGAACATAACCAGAAAAAATGGAAGAGGACCAATGCTACAGCTACTGATGTTGTCTTATTGTCACATTGGACTGCTTTTTTTCAGCAACTCAGTTACTACTGATTTAACCATGGAGACGAGGAGGAAAGGAAGAACAAAAGACATGTTAACTCCAGTTATGTACAAGAAGTTCCCCCAAAATAAGTAAGTGCTGCAGAGGGGGAACGCACCAGAGGGATTTCTTTGAGAAATACAGTAAGTGGCTGCACCATAAACCAAATTGAACACAAGCCTTTTGATACTGGGAGAGAAACGAGAGCTAATGCAGAGATTAGACCTGAAGACCCTTGACAGTAAAACCATGTAGTCTCTGTTTGATCCCACAGAGAAGAGGCAGCCATGGAAAGGTGACAGGTTCAGTAAAACAACTTGTGTCAGCTTTTCAAATGATGATAAAAGTCACAACTGCACTTGTCCCAAACCACAGAAAGAGATGATGAGAAAAATGAAACGCAAGATGACCACAGCTTGGAAAGAGTTTCAGGTTAGACACACAGCAGTTCAGAGAACACGCAAAATCTTGATGCAGTGCTACATATACTGGGTACAAAATGGAGGACTTGATGATAAAACACCCATTTAATATTAAATACTCCAATAACTATGAGCATTACCTATGCTATTGATCATCTGTTTCCAGTGCTAGATCTCAAGAACATTTGTAAGAATCACAGCAGCACTGGCAGTAGTAATGAAAAGTGAACATGCATCATATTCTCCAGGCTGGACAGTAAGGACCTGGAAAAACAGACATTTAAGTTCAATGTCTGCCAGACAGATGCAGTGGTTGAACTCTGCAACAGGTGGCCCACAGAGGTGGTAAGGTCTCCACCATGGAGATACTGAAAACCTGACTGGACAGAGTCCTGGACAGCTTGCTCTAACTGACACTCCTTGAGCAGGGGGGTTGGACAAGATGATTTCAATAGGTCCCTTCCAACCTAATCAATGCTGTGATTCTTTGCATGCACAATAATATACATTGTCGTTATCCATACCAACTGAATGCTGCATTTGTTTGACAGAAAATACATTTAATATAATGCACAAGTTAGTATCAGTGCCTATGATCTGGAAAGATTCTTCAAGAATACTGAATGATACTTCTGGAATATATTTTGAAAATATTTGTTATTCTCCCTAAATTAGACTTTTAAATTAACAGATAAAGGTTGGAAGGAACAGAAATAGCAGATAAACTAGCTCTTTACCTAGTCATCTGCTTAGCTATTGCTAGCTGTCTAATCTGTAACAGGAATCTAAAGAGGTAGAGGGTTCAAGAAAGGAATTTGAAAGGAACTGGATTTAAATAGCACCCTATTTCAGAGTCTTTAAATATTTCTGAAAAACTCAATCTTAGTTTCACATGTGTGTGTACAGTGCAGAAGACAGAAATACCCTTTTTTTTATTATCATAAGGATTTGACAACTCCATACATGATGGTTTCACTACCCCCCTCAAAGAGAAACAGCATCAGCTGTCAAGCCTGTATGGCCAAAGAAACATCCTGCAGAAAGAGTGGATTCATTCTTCTGTCCCCTCAATTTCCTAGCATAGTCACTGCTAACAAGTACCATAAAGATATTATTCACCTTCTTTCCTAACATATGCTGAAACCCAATACTTTGACATTTTCCAGCTGACTTCCCGTTACAATTCCACACTCACTTTTTCATACACATTGACAGCATGTAATTTTTCCAGAGTTATAAACACAGACACTATGAGATTCAGACTCCCATAGTTTGTTTTCACAGTGCAGTACCTTTTCCCATATACTCCCCACTTCCAACCTCATAGATCAAGTAGATACTGAACAAGTTTGCCGTGCTAGAAATCATAAAGAACGAGTTGGTTTATATAACTGTAAGCATGGCACAGGAATAGTTCTCTCACTGAGATGATCTTTATACTATTTTGGTCTCACAACAAATTAGTGTTTTTGAAATTATTACTATTACTGAATAGCATTCCTTCCAAAATACCTCAGCTGTTGAACGTTTAACTGCTAGTTTGCCTCGAAGGACAAAAAAAACGCCAATTTGACTTAATTATAAACAAACTCTTCTGCAACTTTAATCAAATTAACTACATTTAAAGTACTTGATTGCTGAAAGAAAATTTAAAGCAAATCTTTTCAAAACCACATTGCCTTGCCTTCTTTATAGTTACTGAATCAGAGGGATTCATATTTCAATAAACTAAACTGCAAAAGGTCATCAGTATCTGTAACACAGCTCTGCTAAACAACCTAAATAGCCTTAGAAGATCTCACCGAGGCTTAATAACTAATTTATATAGAATATAAAGAGCCAACAGCCTCAATTGTCAAATATTCTACATGATCTACTGGGTAACCCCCAGTATCAATACAGGCTGGGGGAAGAAAGGATCGAGAGCAGCCCTGCCGAGAGGGACCTGGGGGTACTGATGGATGAAAAGCTGGACATGAGCCGGCAATGTGCGCTGGCAGCCCAGAAGGCCAACCGTACTCTGGGCTGCATCAGGAGGAGTGTGGCTAGCAGGTCGAGGGAGGTGATTCTGCCCCTCTACTCAGCTCTGGTGAGACCTCACCTGGAGTACTGCGTCCAGCTCTGGAGCCCTCAGCACAAGAAGGACATGGAACTGTTGGAACGGGTCCAGAGGAGGGCTACAAAAATGATCCGAGGGCTGGAGCACCTCTCCTATGAGGACAGGCTGAGAGAGTTGGGCTTGTTCAGCCTGGAGAAAAGGAGGCTACGGGGAGACCTGATTGCAGCCTTCCAGTACCTAAAGGGGGCCTATAGGAAAGATGGGGAATGTCTTTTTAGTAGGGCCAGCTGTGTTAGGACAAGGGGAAATGGTTTTAAACTAGAACAGGGTAGGTTCAGGCTAGAGGTAAGGAAGAAATTTTTTACAATGAGGGTGGTAAAACACTGGAACAGGTTGCCCAGAGAGGTAGTGGAGGCCCCATCCCTGGAAACATTCAAGGCCAGGTTGGATGGGGCTCTGAGCAATCTGATCTAGTTAGCAGTGTCCCTGCTCACTGCAGGGGGGTTGGACTAGATGACCACTAGTGGTCCCTTCCAACCCTAAACATTCTATGATTATGTCATGTAATAATAATCCTTTCCTATGCCACATATAGAGGCAAGGTTCTGCAACATTCTACATGTTAAACAAAAAAAACCCCAAACCCTTCATTTTAGGGATATTCCTCCAGGAGGTACCAAAATTATCAAAGGATAAAATTAACCAGAGAAACACGGGATTTTTACAGTTTCTTTAGGCTCAATCATGCATACTAGGAAAGCCTGTAGAAGTATCAGCTAGTGTCATTGATTTGCCAGCTTACTAGCAGGGAAGCTAGCAAGATTACAGTACTGATTAAAACAGCTGAGTTCTACTTTGTTTAACAATGCTAATAAGACACTGCACATGCTTCATAGATTGTGCTAAGGATAGCAGAATACCACCATCTGAATACTTGGCTTTTTAAAAATGGTTTCCATTAAATATATGCAGTCAAATGAACTTAAGAGTTTGCTTGCAGCAATTTAGAACAATACACCAGAAACTTGTCTGTAACTAACTCAAGCTTTTCTTTAGTATAATTCACCCTTTTACAAATCAGTAAAGTTGTGTGTTTGCCAAATACAGGACCCTAAAATAAACTTTCTCAATTGCATTGCTTTTTACGTAAAATGAAGACCAGTAATTGATCAGGACTTTCATGTTGCTCTTATGAAATGAAGAACAAAAAAGGTTAGCAAAAAAAAAAAAAAAAAAAAAACAACCAAACCAAAAACCCAAACCAGGACTAAATCCTTTTTAAGGTTTAGTCCCCATCACTCCAATTTATTGAAAAGAATGCAAAGCACTGATTTCACTCTGAGTTTATATGTTGTTAGGATTTAAACCTGTCTTTTCAGGCTTTCTGACAGTACCTCATTCATAACAGCCCGATACAGTAACATACATTAGTGTAAACCATAACTCTTCTAAGGACCTGCCATCAGTATGGCTGCCCACACCCTGTGCTGGCAAGGCCTAAACAGCCATCTCTAGTGACTGTGGGAAGTACAAAGTCAGGAGCTTAAATTCTATGCTCAAACAAGAGAGACATGCTTGATTTTTTTTGTCCAGCGCAGTTTAAGAAGAAAAAAAAAAATTATCTTAAAGCACAAAATCAGAAATATTAATTCCTTTGCATTTCAAAGTTGTATTAATTTCATCTTAAACCACGCTGAATTTTTTTTCTTGGTGATTTCAAATCACATACTCTAACCAGTCTTGTGTGGCCACATGAGCCTACAAATACTTCCACTATAAAAAGGGAGGTGTCAGGTAACCAGGGAAACCAATTCTGGCAGGAACATCAGTCCATACCTACTAAAATTGACTGAGAAAACATGATTTATGCTTTCTTTAAGCTGTTGGAGTTACCTTACATAAAACGTAAACAAAAGTTAAATTGAGGCCTCCAGATTTGGATTAGTAACACCTGAATAGTTGCAAACTTGTCGATAAAAAAAAAAAAAATATTCGGAGACACCTTTTATTTTGGAAGGGAAAAGATTACGAACTTCAGCCAAAAACTCCAGTAGCAAGTAAAACCGCTTGCTTCAATACATTCTTAGATTCTCTGTCTTTGTCTGGCTACACAATGATCAAATACTCACAACGGACAGCTGACTCCATGTTGATCTCAGGGGCTTATAGTGAAAAACAACCTTTTCATCTGATTTCTGCTCTCGGGGCTCAGACTCTTCATCAGAATCTATGTCCAGAGCTTTTTCTTTATAGTTCTGATACAGTACAGCATTTTCTGTAAAACAACAACAGTATGTCATTAATTGCTAGAGAGTAATTAGTTGCTTTCCTAAAAATTATAAGTAACATTTAAATAATGAAAGAAACCAAAACGTCAATGTGCCGTTCAAACACGCCACAAGACAAAGATAGTATCTTATTTAGGATGGACAATGGTGCAGTACAGTAACAATGGATCACTGTACCACTACCAAAAAGATCCACGCTGACTGAATTAAAGAACAGATGTGTCCTTTGTCAAGAAAAAACAGAAAACAATTTTTTCTTCCTTGGTTTGCTGTACAATGTTTCATAATTAGCCAGCAATTTGAAAACGGAACAAGCATGTCAGTAGAGCAGAGTCACTAATCTGGAGGTCTAGCTATTTTCATCTACAAGACCATTATAAATCCACCACCCATGCCAACCTCTATTCTGTCAGATTTAAATACTGTCTTTGCACTTCACTAAGAGAAGGAAATGATCCAAATTTCAGAAATTTGAGGTCAGAACTATTCCAAATAGAAACTTCAAAGCTTGCTTGAATAAGCATGAGGCTTATGAACCTTAATACAAAATACACTCAGTATTTATTTCAGTACTGCCAGTATTAATTCAGTAGTATCAACAGCAAAGAAACACAGGTGTGGAGCACATCCTTTCCATTTCCCAACCTCCTTGATCGCACACCCTTTTCAAAAGCAGACAGAAAAGGACAGAGAAATTCAAGACCAGAATAACCTAGAGACAGATTAAGCTGTTAAGAAAGCAAGCTCTAAAAGGTACTTTAGAAACAGGCCAGGCTTTGGACAATATCCAATCTTCCCTGACATGAGAAAGGGGAAAGGAGTGAAAGGTCTGGCTGCTCCATGCACAGCTGCAACTCCTGAGGTCTTACACCAAGCTGGGTGGATCTGTTCCACTTGCTTGGACCAGCTGTAAGCCCTGGCTGAGCATTATACAAGGTCTGGCCTTTTGTTTTTGTTCTTTGGAATGTGTCTATATAGTTTATGCACTTTTAAGACAGGAAATTGTGTACAGCAACTGAATTCTGAGAGGCATTACACAGAAAGTTATTAGTTGGGATCAGTCCAAGATAGAAGGGAGCCATTGGAAGAGAATCCAGAAAACGTCATCACGAGATAGTGTGAGAAAAGATGAAAATAAGAGTAAGATAGGGGTGATGCAAATAGAACAAAGTGGAAAGTTTTGAAAGTAGAAACAAGAGGAAAAGGAAGGTAGCACAGCAGCTGAGATGACCTTAAGGAAACATTAAGCAGAGAAAAGCCAAGAGAGTAGCAGTTATTATGATGAAACTTCCATGGACTCATAGCCAGGAAAGAGTTTTTTTCTTGTTGAAACATTGGGAAAAGCAACAAACTTGGCAAAGCCCAGAATTAATGAGCAACATAAAAAAGCAGATACACAGACAGTGTTTTTCTGACACTTAAAGTTGAAGCCTAGGTAGCAAGAAAAGAAAAGGATTACAAAGTCAAAGAATTCACCCCAGCACCCTTGCCTGATGAGGAAGAGAGAAACAGCTGCACGAACCATAAACTCAGAGAATAACAATTCAGGTGTCTGCTGCAAGTGATGACCATAAGCTGATCCACAAAAGCTACGTCTTGCACCTGGGAAGAGTCACAAAAAACAGGCAGGAAGGCAGTCCTAACTGGAGGAACAAGCCTCACCTATATAATTCTACAGAACTGTTAGGGCTGAGATAGACACATCAGTCAGTTTTGCTTTTAGGAGGGACAGGAGTTTAAGTTAAAAAGAAGCCCTTCAAATAAAATCCCATTTTTAGCTTGCCATTCTATATTCTTTAAAATATTCCCTAAAATATGTCTAATGTCAAAATTATGGTTCCCTATTTTAGTCAGTTTACTGAAATACAAGGTGTTTAGCCTTTGACTACATATGAAAGAAGTGTGCAAAATCATCTTGAAGTTCATTTGTCTTGTGATTGAGCGTGTTATCAAGTCTGTACAGAAAAAGGGCTTACCTTCCCCATCAAACGTCCCTTGTCCTTTCAGCATCTTCTTCTGGTAATTTTAACAGGAAAGAAATATATACACATTAAAAGATGAATGCAAAATAACCAATGGTAACGAGATGTATTTACTTGATACTTAGGCACCAAATTAACAGACCCTAGTCTATAAACTTCTGATGTTGGACAAGTATTCATGAAAACAATTGTTTCATCACAGAAAGTGAAAAGCTACTCTAGTTTTCCTTCTCTCATGTATTGTTTATATGTATTTGTCCCAAATGCTTCATTTTTCCTATGTTTCAAAAGCACAATATATTAGCTTTACGACAGTTCAGTGAACTTGCAACTCATTCCACTATCATTGGCCTTTTCTATGAGGATATAAGGTACACGACTGAGCAGCTGTCTCTCTCCACAGGCTCTGCAAAGAACAACCACTAAGCGTGTTGTAAACTAGCGTTTTGAGACCAAAACAAACCTTTGAAATAAAAAAGCTGTTTTGGTGCAACAAGTATGGTCTAAGAAGTGTATTTAAAAAATGCTACTAGCAAAGAGTTTTGTGTGTAGCGACAGGACAATGTCATGTCCTCCTATTTAAACACAACTAACTGTTAAAAGTCTACTACCAAAACCAAAGCAAAACAAAGCCCCTCCCTACTCAGCAGTAGTTCACAATTCGATTGATTATTCTTTCACCACTTGTAGCATTTTCACAAAAGCTTCCATAACCTTAATTTTTAATTTGGCTGAAAATTGTCATAAAGCCGATAATTATTTTAATAGCTACAGCATTAGCCCTTAGTCTGGAGTACTTCATTACACAATTCCAACCACTCCACAAGAATCTACAAATATATTTTTTAAAAATTAACAAATTGTCTTTAAAAAGAAGGAAATACAAGATTACAATATGTTCATGTAAAAGAGTATTTTCAGTAAGTCTTTATAATTAAATTTCAATACATTATCATTCAATATAAATCTACTATTCCTAAGGGATTACAACCAAGAATTAAAAAAGACATTCTGCTTTGACTTGCAGGCATTAAAATTAAGCTACAAAAAGATACCTGAAGCAGTCTCCATCAATTTAAAAGTCACACTCAGATTTTTAAAATTACTTTAAAAGTAACATCTCAGAAGAGTAAGGGAGAAAGTTAATTTTTCTGTCAGTCTGCCTACTCTAGCAGGCAGACTTTATTAAGTCAATGTCTCTTTTTTTCCTATTTACTACTTTCTGGCTAACAGGTTTTAAAACATCAACTTGATTGTGAAAGAAAACCTCGATGTGCTGGGGAATCCAGCAGGAAATGCAAGCATGAGGCTGCCATCAACACATTTTTGAGCTGCCCAAATTTCAACAAATCGTTTCCCTGAAGCCTCTACCACTTTACTTGGAAAACAGCACTTGTAAGTGATCCATGAGACTTATCAATAACTACAAAAGTTTTGTGGTAGCAAAAAGCAAACTGAAAAAAACCACAGCATTTATGGAAAACACAGAGACTGCAAATCACACTCCTGTATACCCTACACCATTCAAATCAACACGTCACCAATCAGCACAACTTACCTTTATCCTCCCCAGGCTCGAAAATTTCTCTTTATCTTCAACAACTGCTTTAAGCATGGGCTGGGACATTCTGTTTTTTTTCTTAAAATTAGAAGAGCCATCGAAGTCCACACCACTCACCACCGCTCTGCGGTAGGATGTCGACCTCAGGCCGCGCCTCAGGGTCCCTGGGCTGTCCAGGTCACCCTCAGTCTCTTCCTCAGCATCAGCTACCAAAGGCACGCTGAGGCTCTCCACCATACTGCGGACCTTCAGCACCCTCTTGCTTGTCTCTGCATTCTGGCTGTTGGCTTTGTTTGTCACCTTTATTTCAGAAGCCAAACTCTTGGGAATGATCTGCTGCGTGCCCACTTTGAGCGCGGCAGGGCTGTTGGTGCTCAGGACCACAGGCTGCTGCTCCACAGGCTGGTCCTCAGGTGATTCTGGCCTCTGAGGAGTTATGCCTTGCTCCGGGAACATCGCCCGGGAAACCACAGGGGGTCCCAGCGGCACGTTTTCTGGTATTTTGGAAATCCGGCTGCATTGCAAGGGCAGCGCTGCTGCGTTGTTACTGGGAGAAGGTGCGTTTCCAGCAGGTGAGGGCTGAGGGCTGGCTGTAAAAACAATCCGCTCGTGCTGCGGTGTAAGTACGGACTGAGTGGAAATCCTCAGGGGATGACCCATCTGGCTTTCTGGTGAGGTAATGGTGCCGTTGGCAGTAAAACCGACAGAACTGCTTGAAACCTGAGCGAGCACCTTGGAGGATCTCTCAGGAGACAGCTCAGGGGAGACCACTTTACAGGCTGGAGACTGTACCTTCCCGTTAGACACCGATCCCATGCTGGAACCGAAAAACGAGGGGCCCCTCTGGAGCACTCCGCTGCCCGTGCAGGTGCTGACGGTGCCGGCAGGCTGAGTCACGGTGAAGGTGCACCTGTCCTCCACGGGAAAGTCGGTGACAAGCACCCCGTTGGGGCTCTGGTACGACTGGGGCCGGGGTTTGCTGCAGGCGCAGGGCTGCGGCCGGGGGGTCGACCTCCTCTTCCACAGCGGCGCCGCCTTGTCCTT